GGGAAAGAGGCTGTGATTTGGAAAATCCTTGGGGGTGGAAGGGGGAAGAACACATACTTCCTACAAGATCCTTCATCTTCAGGGTCTGCTGCCAAGAAAAAAATTTATCAGCCTAGTTTTCTAGAAGACAGGCTATTCCCCACGTCCTCCGTAAGTTAATGGAGCAGTGGCTGGTGCAGATGGCATAAAGATCTATAGTAGAGTAGTCAAGTCTTCCTGGTACCTAAGAACCAGAAGGAGCAAATAGACGGTGACTCATGGCCTCAAAAAGAGTTGGTTAGAAAGTAGGGGAAAACAGTGCTTTGGCAGTTTAACCTTGTAAAGTCACCTGTGGTTAGCGTTTCCAACTGGGGAAGGGCTTGTGTCCAGGAAGGGCTTGAAGGATTTGAGTAGGGCTCTCTCAGACAGTACACTCAACTTGGTTCGCAGAGGAGAGCTGGAGTCACGAAGAACTGCTTTATATCATCATCTGGACACCTGAAGGCAGAATGCAGATAACTGAGCACAAGGAAGTGCTAAAAGCTGTGGCCACGCTGAAGCATCTGCTCCCCATTTATATTTTTAGCAGGACTCTGCATTTTGGGGGTAGCAAGACTATCTGAATTCTGTTTCAGAATCATCCCATAGTTCTCTCTGAAACACATCGTTTCTAAGACAATATTTCCACTTCCCTGAAGTGTTTTGTTTGCTTTGCTTTGAATTTTGCACTTGACCTCTCGCTTTCAGGGCCTAAGGTCCACCATTAGAGCACCAAAACCAGAAGTCCCCTTTCAGCTTTCTATGTTACCGATCAGGATCAGAGCAGGCACACGATATCCCAACAGTGTGAATGCACAGATGACCACTGGAAGATCAACCTGTCTTTTCTGTGTTATCTCTGACTTCTTGGCAGTCGCCAGTAGAGTGGGGGAATTTGTAGGGTGAATGAGTCATCTAATCGCAGCAGGGGGAACTTGATCTACTGTGAAAATAATTATTTTAAAAATCTATTGTGTTGATTCTTTGAAGTTGCTGTGGTTGCATTCTTCTGCTTGCACCTAAGTCTTATGCACAAACTCTCTCGTTTTCTTCCCTCCTCCCCTCATACTCTTGTCCATTCCCATAATTTGGGATGGGAAACCAAGTGTATCTCTTAAATGAGTGTAACAGCTTTTTCAGTGTGTGGTCTGTAGCCAGACCTACTTAGTCCCTCTACTAAACTGTACTTATATCATATCAACAATACCTTTTTTTATTCTGCAGGTATTGCTAGTATATGGGAGAAACAGAGGCCTGAGGCCTGAGGCATTTGCCAGGAACCACAATGTAACCATCTGTTCACAAGTTGCTTATCAGATTCCATAGTTGGCAGTTAGTGTTGCTATGACATGCATTGCTATCCAGTCCTGATCTGGTGGCAGATGGCTGTTCTGCTGTCTCATTGTTTGTCACAGGACCATCAGATATGATTGCTCCTCATTGTGGGAGAGAAAGTAATTTCGTGTACTTTCCCCATTGCTGGATATAAGTGACTGTTTTCACTGAATTGCTGCTACTATTTGCATCTGGCTTTGTGTACCTCCTTGCACTGTTCAGGAGTGCAGCTCTGATGGCACCTCCCCCCCCCCATAAAACTTCATTCCCCATTGTCAATTCTCACCCGGTTAGCCATTACATTCACCTAAGTTTATTCATCTTTCTAGTTGCCAGTATCCAAACTGTTCAGTTAAACAGCAGCCAGGTGGATCTGGTCTTCAAACAATTTCTGGACCATCAATTAAGACACTTCCAAGATTTTTCTGCAAGAACTTGTGCTACTTTGAAAATCTTTTATGGATTCATGTGTAACATTCTTTCATCTGTAGCTCAGTAGGTTTGGACGTGTCAACCAATACGTTACCAAACTCAGCATTACTGCATGGGGTTTTTTTTTCCATTGGTTCTGGCCCAATACTTTTGAGACCACTTTTACCCCAATCTTTTTCTGGAAGCTGATTTTGAGTCAGTTTTTTCCTCATGCGTAATGTTTCTGTCTGTTTTCTTTGTCCTGCCCACTATCACCCACCATCAAAAGTCTGTGAGGAGGACTATGGAGGCTGGGAGCGGTGGCTGGGAAGTTTGACAGCCCTGCCCTCTGCTTCCTGCTCTCAGAGGCAGCCCCGCCCTGTGCTCACTCTGACAGAGAGCACATGGTGAGGCTGCCTCTGAGAGCAGGAAGCAGACTGCGGGGGCTGCCAAACTTCCCAGCCACCACTCCCAGCCTCCATAGTCCTCCTCACAGACTTTTGATGGTTCTGATAAGAGCTGTTCTCGAAAAAGAGCAGTTTCTGTCAGAGCTCTCTCAGCCCCACCTACCTCACAGGGTGTCTGTTGTGGGGAGGGGAAGGCAAAGGAGTTTGTAAACCGCTCTGAGACTCCTTTGGGTAGTGAAGGGCGAGGTATAAATCCAATCTCTTCTTCTTCATCTGAAATTAATGGTGAAATGAGCTCCCAGAAGAGATCAGGGCCCTGTAGGACCTCTTACAATTCTGCAGGGCCTGCAAGATCGAACTCTTCCACCAGGCCTTCGATTAGGAGCCATGTAAAACATCCGAGGAGTGACCCTGTGCCCTGGTCTTACCACCTTTAGCCTGCCCTCACCGCGTAAATAAGTAGATCAATGGAGCTGGTGTGGGAATACCATCATGATTGTCACCTAAGGAGTACTGTTTAATCTTGAAATTTCTGCTCTCACACTTTATCTGAATATTGTTCCAGCACTTTAGCATAATTGATTTATGGTTTTTGGTTGTTTTTATGATGGATTTTAATTGTATTTTATGCAAGCTGCCCTGAGCCTGCCTCGGCAGGTAGGGCAGGGTATAAATCGAATAAATAAGTAAATAACTTTGGAGAACTGAAAACATCATCTATATATCTAATACCCAAGTCGCCCCGTCTGTGCGGATCGCTAAATCCGCCTTCCGGGGCAACCTGGGGGGCAGGGAGAGTTTTGTGCACTCTTGGGGCAGTCCCCAGGGGTGCACAAAAATCTAAAAACTAA